TTAGCTTCTTCCTCTTGGTGAGCATTATAATGTAAACCATCTCTAAAATGTTGACAAGTATCACACAAATCAGTCCTGGGACTCATAATTTGAATCTCTGGTGTCAATTGATGTCATAATTTTCTGAATGCATCATATTTTAAAGATTTCAATTTGTTATCTTCTTCCAAACCAACTAGAAAGTCCCTGTGGACTGATTTATAACTCATTTCAGCTGTTAAGAATACAATTGATTGAGTTATTCTATTGATACTTCTTCCTGGACTTGGTAATCCATGAACTTTTGCATAATTTTCTAGAAAATTCTTTACTACTTCTGTAACATTTTTATCAATCATCATTTTAGTTTTCCATTGAGGCATTCTTTTAATATTACCATGAATTCTTGGTAGAAGACCATTGTTTATTAGATGATTTCTAATATTTTCAAAATAAGTTCTGCCAATTCCTAACATATTGAGATAAGTTTCTTGACAAAGAAGTGTATTGTGATCCCAATGATAGAAAGTTCTTTTATTAGACCTGGTTTTCTTTTTAAGGCGTCTGCTAACACTTGTTGATCCACCATCCATTGCTTTAAGTTGGGCCATTAAAAATATGTCTTGTTCTACTTTAGAAAGAGCTTGAAAAGATTCTCTTAATTCTGCAAAATTTTCCTTGGGGATTCTTGAAGAACAACCACATTTACATCCTTTTTCTAAAAAATCAATTGCTTTTTGATATTCATTAGAACCATTGCATTTATTACTTTTGTTAATATTTTTCATATACACACTTATCTCTATATATATAATTTTATGTTCACTTTGTAGTTTTTTAAAATTGGAGGGTTTCTGTGATGATAATAAATCGGGAGAATGAATGTAGTTGATAATAACAAATACTCATTAATTGTATGAAATTGTGTATTACTTATAAGTAGTTAATTTTGTGATTTGGATTACAAGAGGATGCTTTATTTGGTTTGTGAACCAAAGGAGTTTTATTCAAAAAAATAATTAATTAAAAATCATTTTACAACTATATAGAATTTTGCTTATAAAGGAGCATTACTTAATTGGAAACATGCAGTTTATTCTCTCAAGAAGATTCTCATTATTCATTATTATTTAGTATTTGTATATATCAAATGACTTTTTGTAAATATCGTCTTTAGAAAATGAATCATATATATTAAAAATATAATTCCAATGCTTTGATAATTAATATTTGATTTTTATCCATTAATATCATATTTATCTCTCATATTTATCAATTTACATTTGTTTTAAAAAATTTTAACACCTCTGCTAGCAATCTCAATACTTGACGAACTGTTATTCCATTTGTTGATGATGAACATAAGCTGATTTCCTCCATTAATTCTTCCTGTTTGGTAAGCTCCTCCTATAAGTATAACAGAAATATACACATGAATATACATCAAGAATTTTATATAAATTAATTTGAATCAATATAAAAAAAGTATACAGGGTGTCTTGAACACATACATGGAAAATTGACATCATTAGTAAAATCACTTTGTATTTGCTACGACCACTCCAGGAAAAGGGAATAATGGCAGAGGCCAATTCTGTGGCAAGAAACCGGCCATCTGGGAGCATATTCAATGCATAAAGTGTGAGGCGAGTACCTTAGAAAAAGACAATGATAATAAAATTGTGAGTTCCTAAACTTATTGTAAACACAAACAATGTTACTTACTGATTGCTTGTGTGCAAAAAACTTTGATCTTTGTTGCCAAATCAATACTACAATCCAAATTATTCCGTAATATGGACACTAAATTAAGGATGTCTGATTGAAATGTTTTTTTAGTATCATTTATAGTATGTGTGGTGGTAGGGTTCCAGGGTGGCCCAGCCACTTCCATTTGCCATATTTCCTGGTCATCTGATAATCTAGTTCCTTTGGAATCAAAAAGAACAATTCCAGAGTTATCTGCTGATTTTGTTATTTTTGCAGCACTTGAGTGGGTCTCTATCCAATCAAAACTTATTGTGGCAAATGTAGTCTCATAAAATTTAAAGAGAGATGCAATATTGTATGTGATATATTTTCTTTCACTAATCTTTCGACTCATAGATTGACATTAAAATCACCTTTCATTGTAATTGACAAACACATAAAAACCAACTTACAAATCAATAAGAATTTTCTCACAATACAGATTGAAAAGATAATCTCCAGTATCCACACTCTCTTGTAGTGCCTTCTTAAATTCATTTCCATTTTTCTTTTATATATTTGTAGGGGAGGGGTGACAATAATTAATATTATTATATCAGTCGCAGGACATTGCAGATCTACAGGGGGTCAAGTGTCACTCATATATAAAATTAATGATCTTTGTGCATAATTTTATATGTAAAATCGAAGAAAAAAATCACTCTGGTATACACAAACCTACCCGATTTAACCAAGATTGTTCCTAAAAAATCGAAATATATGGAAAAACCTTTATTTTGACATACTTTTTGCCAGGGTAAACAAATAAGACTCGAAGAAAATCTTAATGTGAAGTTGGTCTACCAGCCCTATAAGTTCTATAAGAAATTTGGATATGCACAATTCAATCTTTCGACTTCATTTTTTTTTACATAATAATAATTAATGCAATAGTAAGTTCTAATTTCCAAGCTTTAAATATTTTATTTTGGAATTTGTTTATAGAAAAGTATTAATTTTTTTTTATAATATATATATCACTGGGTGAATTAGAAAGTTGTATCAAGCAAATTTATTAACTCAGTGATATTTATTTAATATTTTCAAACAAAAATGAATTCATATAATGGACTTCTTTCTATTAACAAAATGCCAGTTAACTTAAAGAAAGATTTGTTGATTTTTGATTAAAGTTTCATTAATGATTATTAACGGTTTTAATTATACATACATACATACATACATACATATATATATATCACTTTACAAGCTTCATAGATCTTGCTTTTAACACTTCAATCAACTGCTATATAACTACAAATAATTGATAAGACATTCATTAAGTATAACGATTCAGAAGGATTTTTATTTACATATTTAATAAATAATATTAATAATAAGCACAGATTGTACTTGTAAAAACCAAGGTTTGTTTGTTATATTCACTCTTATTAATTCCGATGTATATAAGATCTAGATGATTGTGGAACAATATATTAATAGATAATATTAATAATAAGCATATATTATACTTGTAAAAATCAAAAATTGGTTTTTTATATACAAGCTAGTAATAGGCTACTTAACTTTTAAACATTTCTATTATAGTGTTGCTATGATAGTTTCAT